AAGTCCAGTTAGTTTTTGTTCAAACCGTATGAAGGTGCTTTCTAGATTTGTGGGAAAACAGAATTAAAACAAGCCTCTTCTGGTACGAGATGTTCTGAAATTCTGGGTCTGGCATTGTAGCATAGTGGGTAGAGATACTAACTGCAATACCAGCAGCCCACATGGATGATGGCCTATGCCCTGGATGTTCCATATCCAATCTCTTTCCTTGCTAGTGGCAAGGAAAAGGCAGCAGAAGATGGCATAAGTGTTTGGATCCCTGCAAGACCTAAATGAAACTCCAGGCTCCTCACTTCAGCCCAGCCCAGCATTAGCTATCACAGCCATCCAGGGAGGTAAACAGTGAGATTGATGTTCTAAGCATGCCAGATTGCATCTTACCATCCTACTTCTCACAAAGCCATGAATGGAGTCACAGGGTGCCAACTTTGTGGCCCCACATGTCCCAGAGGAGTGCTATCTCCAAAATGTTATTAACAAAGATTCAAGATTTTATTTCTTTTAAGAGAGAGAGATTTTTTAATTTAGAACATCAGAGTTACAGATGGGGGAGCGAAAGAGGGAGAGGAGAGCGAATGGGAACTTCCATCCACTGGTTTGCTTCCCAAACAGCTGGGACTGGGCCAGGCTGAAGCCAGGATCCCAGAACTTCTTCCAGGTCTCCAATGTGGGTATTGGCAGCCCAAGCGCTTAGAGCAACCTCTGCGCCATTCTCTGGGCATTAGCAGGGAGATGGATGGGAAATGGAGCAGCCAGGACATGAACCAAAACCCCTGTGGGATGCTGGCATTGCAGGCAGCAGCTTTACTTCTTATGCCACAATGCTGGCTTCTGGAAATTAAGTTTCTGGTGCATGAACCTTTGGGGGACATATTGAAACCCCAGCATCTGCATGATCTGTTTCTAGTTCCTCTCTTTCAGGCATCACTTTGGACTACAGTTTATTGTTTTCTTTCCTTCCCTCCTCTGGTCACACACACTCACACACATATTTCTCATGATATTTTTAAAGTGTCTATTCCACTTCTTATTACTCAGACAGCAAACGCTGAGCAGGCAATAAAAGAAAACCTTACTTTTGTTAGGCATTTTCGAAAGATAAAAGTATTAAAAATTAAATTTAAAATACATTATATCACTACTAGAAAACTTTGAAAGAAAAGTATCATTTTTCTTTCTTTTTAAAAAAAATTTATTTCTGGGCCCGGCGCGGTGGCGCAAGTGGTTAAGGTCCTCGCCTTGCACACCCCGGGATCCCATATGGGCGCCGGTTCTATCCTGACAGCCCCGCTTCCCTTCCAGCTCCCTGCCTGTGGCCTGGGAAAGCAGTCGAGGACGGCCCAAAGCTTTGGGACCCTGCACCCACGTGGGAGACCCGGAAGAGTCTCCTGGCTTTGGATTGGCATAGCATTGACCGTTGTGCTCACTTAGGGAGTGAATCATCAGATGAAAGATCTTCCTCTCTGTCTCTTCTCTCTGTATATCCGCCTTTCCAATAAAAAAATAATAAAAATAAATCTTTAAAAAAATTTTATTTCTTTTTATTGAAAAGTCAGATATACAGAGAGGAGGAGAGACAGACAGGAAGATCTTCCATCTGCTGGTTCACTCCCCAAGTGGCTGCAATGGCCGGAGCTGAGTCAATCTGAAGCCAGGAGCCAGGAACCAGGAGTTTCTTCCAGGTCTCCCATGTGGGTGCAGGGTCCCAAGTCTTTGGGCCATTCTCTATTGCTTTCGCAGGCCACAAGCAGGGAACTAGATGGGAAGTGGGGCCACCAGGATACAAACAGGCACCCATATGGGATCCCAGTGTGCAAGGTGAGGAATTTAGCCAGTAGACAACTGTGTCAGGTTCAACAAGTACTTTTTTAATAGATACTGAAATTATAGCTATTTAATTTAGAAAATTTAAATAACTCTAGTGTATTTGGAAAGTAGACTTGGTATCTCTAAAAATAGTTACATGGATTTAATAAGAAACAGAAAATCCTTCTGTATTGAGATTATATAAATTATTTTTGAGATTAGTAACTCCAAATCTTCACACAATAAAGCAGTCTTTGAGTACTATAATAATTCTAACAAAATATACATTAAGCTTCACAAATTTGAGGAAACTTTATGTATCTGCAATTCTGCCCACAACAATGATGGGCAGTGTGCTGTGATGTAAGTCTTCAGGGTGAAAATAATGAACTGTGGGTGTCAGAATGTTTAAATCGCTGGATTTTGGGTTCCTTTTAATGTTTCTCTTGCTTGACATTCAGACAGCGACTTTACCACGGATATCTAATCTGGCTTTGTTCTGGAAGGTATGCCTTTGCAAGGAGTGGAGAAGGCCCTCCTTGATTGTTACGGTGAAGAGTTGGCTCTGAATTCAATGAATGTTTAAATCTCAAAGATCCCCCGAATGTTGAATTTGGCTGGCTATCCTGTGCTTTTTAGTACTTCAAGCCTTCAAAAATATATGGGTTCCCATAGAGCGACATTCTTGTTTTCCTGATTTTTTTCTCTTGGACTAGTGTTTGTATTATTACCGTCCTTGTTCACTTGAAACAAGCTGTATAAAGTTTACTATTCTTGTAGCATATGGCTGCTGCTTCAAAGTGCTTTGTGTGACTTGGCAAACAGCCACATTCAACTCAGACAAATGATTTCCCGGAGCAGCAGTGAAGAATCCATTTTCTACTCTGAGTTCAACTTCCAGGGTAGGGAGGAGTTAGGTGTGCTTCCTTCCTTCACTCCCTTCTCCCTCCTTCCTTGGCTCTTCCGCTCCGTCTTCTTATTTCATCGTTGCAGTCTTCACTCTAGCTCACTTATGTTGTCAGTGTTATTAGAGATCCTTAATGCTCATTTAAACAACCCTAGTTTGTTTCTAGCTTTTTCTGTCTCCAGACTCCTCACCTCTTTTTCAAATCATTTTGAGTAAGGGCCCATTCATTTTTTTGTTTGTTTGTTTCGTTTTGTGTTTCTAGCCTTCAGAGAAATCATCAAAGAAGAACATGTGTTGGCTTGTCAGCCTCATTGTACTGAGACCTTCTGTGGATTTCTGCTTTGAAAAAAATAGCAGCTTATTCAGCCTTAGTTGAGATGAGGGCTGGCTATAATTTCCTGCTGCAAAGAAGGGAGTTTTAAAGGAAGGAAGAAGCAGGAGCTTTGAGGATACAAATAGTCACAACCGGAAGTGAGTATCCTGTCTTGAAATAGCTGTGGCAGAGAGAGGGGGCCAGGGCACAGCCCCTGTCTTCCATGCGGGTGGCATTGTTGAGGGCATTCTCCTCTGCCCTTCACTTGGTGTCCACTCCCCAGCTTTTCCTCGCAGACAGCTTAGAAAGGGCTGCTCTGCCAGAGCAGATGGCTGCAAGCAGCCAGCTAAGGATCAGAAGGAACTGGAACAGGTGAGAGGTCCACACTATCATGGTTCTTGTTTTGTCTGTTTGGGGCCTCCTGTAGTCATGTGTGTCCACAAGGAAAGCACGGACATGCCATCTCAGTGCTATTCTGCTGTTTGACCAGTGGGTTGAATTGGTTGGTCTAACATTGGATTAACTTCTTTGCATGCTGCAATGATGTTCTAAATACTTGTGTTTCCAAACCTACTCTGATTTATACAGCATCAATCTACCATAAACCCAGGTGCAAGTAAAAGAGAATTTTTGAGGCCTAGCGTGGTGGCCTAGCAGCTAAAGTCCTCGCTTTGAACATGCCAGGATCCCATATGGGTGCCGGTCCTAATCCTGGTGGCCCCACTTCTGATCCTGCTGCCTGCTTGTAACCTGGGTAAGCAGTCAAAGATGGCCCAAAGCCTTGGGACCCTGCACCCACGAGGGAGACCTGGAAGAGGCTCCTGGCTCCTGATTTCAGATCAACGCAGCTCTGGTCGTTGTGGTCACTTGGGGAGTGAATCATCGGACAGAAGATCTTCCTCTCTGTCTCTCCTTCTCTCTCTATATATCCGCCTTTCCAATAAAAATAAATAAGTCTTTTTTGAAAAGATAAATTTTTTTATCAGCATCTCAAATTTTCTATGGAGAGATATTTGTAAAGGATGGGAGGAATATATATATATGTGTATATATGTACATATATACACATACATAGGTACACACAGACACATGTATGTGAGTACTTCAAAATATTCATGTAAATGAAGTTAAAAGGTACATTTCAGAGTGCGTGTTTAGCTTAGTGGCTGAGAAATGAGGAATGAGCTAAGCCACCCATGTCCTGCCCTGAAATGTCTAAGTTTGAAACATGCTCTTGTTTCTGATTCCAGCATCCTACTAACGCACGCAGTGATGGTGACCTCAGTCACTGGGTTCTCACCAACTGTTCTGGGTGGATTCCTGGCTCCTGGTTTTGGCCTGTCACGGCCCACCATGGGCATTCTGGAAGTGAGTCAGTAGATGGGAGCGTTCTCTCAAAGAAATAAAAGTTTACTCATATTTTGTGAAGAAAAAGTTTGAAATCCATACATAGTTTTTTCATAATGCACCTTTTCAACAACCTTTGAACAAACACATAGGCATGAATTCCGAAAATATTTTTTGCACCAAACTAAATGTTTAATTCTGTTTTCCCATGAACTTTTTGAAGTATATATAAACACATATGCATATACACTTGCATTTGCATATATAAACACATATGCATTTATTAAACCATATATGTTTACATAGTTCACATGTAACCTGGGCATCCCTGATGATTGTGGAACTTACTAAGAGCCATCTTAATGGGAACAATATATATTTGGTTTTGGTGTGTTTTGTGGCCATTTGAGAAAATATCACCCAGTGCTAAATAGAAAAACCACAAATCAGTAATAAATCGAGAACAAAGAGCAAAAGCTGAATGTGTAGTGCGTAACATTGAAAAACACCTTGATCGAATCTTTCTTCCATTTGACATCCCTAGCCCTCTATATCTTTCTCACAAGACAGGTTGTGTGGATGAAGGTGTCAAGTCACAAAGACCAGCCCCTGGAAGGCCTGGTGGACTTAATCGACTCCTTCTAGACCAGTGCCGGGCACGTTGGGCTGCTGGGATCCGGCTCCAGCTCCCTGGGGCAGCTCTTCTGTGGCCACTGGTGGAGATGGACTCTTGGGCTCCCCTCCAGTCTCCCACTTTGGAACCTGCTCCTCTGCTGGCAGCAGCGAAGCGGAACCCTCCATCTCCATCGCTGCTCCAGGGGTGTCTGCTGCAGACGGCTGCACCTGACCGGCAGCTTCCGCCTCCAGCTTCCGGGGCTGCGCATCCTCCGTGAGCCCCGAGCACCTGGGTTCCGCTGCCTGCCCGGCTGGACCGGCGTTGGCCTCTGCCTCGCTGCTTCCCTCGGCTGCGGCCTGAGGACTCGGAGAAGGCTTGGGCCTCTCGGACTCCCCCGAAGCGGTGAGAGGAGGCTGTCGGGGCCCTTGCTCCCGAGGCCCGCGGGGTTCTGGTGGCGCTTCTGTGAGCTGGTCCGGGTTGGGCTCTGGACCGTGCATGACCATGAAGGCGGCAGCCAGATTCTTCACAGCGTCTTGAACTCTGTCGGCTTCCTCCGCATCCACCTCTTTCTCCACAGGGACACTTGCCTCTGCTTCTTCATCCGAGGTATGCTGGCCTTGGTCATCCTTTTCCGCTGTTTTGGCTTCTCTGATTTTTTTGTAGAGTTCGTTTCTCTCTTCTTGTAAGGCTCGACACAGGTTCTCTAACCTGCTGATCTTCATGACGAAGCATTCGTATTCTTTAGCTCGCAGTGCTTTCTGCAGTTTGAAAGCAAAGACACACGTGAGGTGACCCTGAGAGCAAATGTCTCAGAATGCTCTCTGGAGAGAAGCAATATTATTTGCTGGTAGATGGAAGCTTAATAAGCAATATCCCTTATATTTATTATTATTTGCGTTGTGTGGTAGATTCTGACATAATCTTAGTCACCATATCCTGTTCATTAAGAACGAAGAATAGCAAGATTTCATTTCCTCAGTCTAACCTTAGTCTCAAATCGTCAAAATTGGCGGTGAGACTAAAAGCAGCAACACACACTTAGGGCAGAGCAAATGAGATAGACTGGGACTTGGCCGCTAGCTGTGTCTCGTCTATTCTGGATAAACTGTTCTGTGGTGATCCCGGTAACCTTTAGAAATGTGTGCCGAGTAAGAAGCATCTCTTTGGAATTAGCTGCAATTTGGAATGAAATTTTAGGAAAGTAATTCTGGCCACAGAAACTCAGCACATGAATTCATGCGTTGGAGGCCCCAGCTCATCTGTTCTTTGCTGAGGAAATGTTGGTGTGTTTGTGCTTGAATCTCACCACTCATCCACCTCTGAGTCACTTTGTACCTTTAAGACCTTTGTCACTTGTATGCTTCACCTGAAAGGGAGCGTGGGGGAGAAGCAGCAGAGGATGAAATGGCCCAGGGACTTGGGTCCTGTCACCACGTGAGGACCCTGGTGGAGTTCCTGGCCGAGTCCAGCTGCTGTCAGTATTTGGACAGTGAACTAGCAGATGGAAAATTTATGGCTCAGTCTCTTTCCCTTCGTTTCTCCCTCTCCTTCCCTGTCTTCCCCTCCCCCATTCTGTCACCCCGCATTCCAAATTTTTAAAAAAGTAAAAATTAGGTGTCACAAAGTAGCACATATTTTGGGTGCTTTGGCTAATCTCTTTTTTCAGTGTATTTGAAGCAATTAATGTGTTATGTACCTGTTACATGCTAGTGCTGGGGAAATTCAGTGCTGAGTGAAACGCATTCTACCTTTAAGAAAAGCAGTCTGGCAGATGGAGTACTGCCCTGGGAAAACTGTTTCATCAACAAGTAGCCTACGGGTTAGGGTCACAGGGGTCTTCATGAATCTGGCCTAGATTCTAAATGGCCTTTCTTCTAATTATTTTTAGTTCAATTTAATATATCTCTATCCATTCTCACCTCCAGTTTAGTTCCTTTCAAATGCAGTCCTTTGTACCGTTAGGCTATAATTACATTCCCAGTACCAATGTTTTGACTAGACTTAGAGTGGGGAGATAAGAGCAGAACTTCCTCACCTCTTCAATCATATCCAACAGAGCTTTGTTACAGTTTTCAAACCGAGCTTTCCACGTGGCTGTGTCCTTTTCCAGCTTCTTCATTTTCTTAGTTGTCTACAGAAATGAGAATATTTTAGTGTTGGTCTGAAGGGTTCGTGCATCAGGGAAGCTGTGTGTTTTCTTTGTGACGTCAAGAGCAGACCTTTTGTTACCAGCTACTGAAGCCAACAGCTGTTCAATGTCAGGGTTGCAGATTGCAGAAGAGTTGTGATTTATTTCTGCATCCTCTGGGACTGGGGTGAACAAGCTGGTTTGCACCAGAGCCAATTTAGGAAAAGGAAACTACTTAGGGACATATTTTTGTGTCATCGTTTTATTGTTTTTTTTTCTTTCATTTAAAATGAAACCATGCGATTTAGATTCTTTGCTTTATGGAATAAAAGACCATCCCAGTGAGATAGATGGCTAGTATGACTTCTTAGGTATTCAAAATGCTGTTAATATCTGGGCATGTTTGAGAAGTGTTCATGTAAAAGCAGCTTTCTGTTTTTTCAGGCTTCACATCAGCAGCGTGAGGGAGAGTTGACAAAATGTAATTATACACATTATTCCCTGCACCCTTGAGGTAGTCTCCTAGGTAAGGTTCTTTTTTAGCTGATGCATTATAGGTAGAGAAACTGGGGCTCAGAAAGGGTTCAGAGTGGGACTGGAGTTACCCCATTCTGTTTAGTGCAATGTGGGTAGTGTCTGCTGGTCACCAGGCACCATACTGGGCATGGGGGGTACAAAAGTGGATGAAATGCTGTCTCTTTTTGAGTTGAGACAGCTCACATTTCCAATTGTAGAAATTTCTCTCTGCTTGAATGAAGTGAATGACAGGATAGGCAGTTGGGCCCAGTTTCCCTGGGTGAGCCAGAGCTGGGCCCTTATAACACTGAGCCAGGCTGTCTGCGGCTGGCCCGACTGTCATCCTTTAGCACTATGGAGAAGCAAGGTGAGTCTAGAATGAGCTTCTATTCTGACCACATATTAATAAAATATCATATAAATGTTTTAATATCATCACTCCTTAAATGTCTAGGATGCAAAGATGAGTATCATTCTTTTTTATTTTTCTAATGTCCAGAGAATTCTCAGGTCAACTACTAACATTTATAAGTGGACCCCAGATTTAGAAGAATTCTTGGTTTAACATTTGCTGTATGTCAAAGCTATTTAGTTTTTAACTTAAAGCATTTTTCTGCTTTTGCATTTATTCAATTTTAAAATTCTAGAACTTTGAGATGTTTTAAAAGGTAGATGGAACCATCCTTGATTAGGAAAGAAAGCATTCCCCCTCAGAGCAAAAGTGTATTCTAGCATTTTTTGGCTCTTGCCAAAACGAATTCACCAGATATCAATAAAAAAAAATACAGCCCAAACATCGTTTGTACCTATAAATGTTTCATTACTTTATGAAATGCAGTGAAATATCTTACAGAAGAACGAACCCAAGGGAAAATTGCCTGTCAAAACAGAACATTCCAGTATTTTGTGTTTGATAAGCAATACTCACTTTATCCATTTCCTGTTTGAAAGTGGCAAACACCTCATTGCTTTTTGCCAGTGTGCTCTGGAACTCTTCAAACCTTCCTGAGTACAGAGTGAGCTGTAAACAGTGGAGAGAGTAGATGAGGGCTTCCAGAACAAAATCACACATTATTATTTGAGAAGAAAAATGTTTTAAAAGATTTTTCAACACAATGTTCATTATACATCCAGTTATTTAATTTATGGTAAGAGCGATCTGGGTCAATGAGCATGACTGAGATGCTTCATTAAAGAGAAATGAGGTAATAAAAAGAGTCATCACCATTTCATTGTATCCTAACTTTTACTATACAGTAGTTACTGAGCACTAAGCATAAGCAAGGTCTGTATGTTAAAAAATATTTCACAGGTGGATCTTGCTTTTGAGAGACCTTAACTCTCAACAGGAAGAAAATCTTAAGGAAGATTTGACTCCAGGACAGTGAATACCAAGTTTTAAGTCTGCCAGGAACAGTGAATATTCAAAGAAGATGAACTTGGCTGGTGATCATGTGAACCACATGTTGATTCATCAGAATTAATTTATTACACCAGTTTTCTACAGATGGAAATAATGGGTTTCAAGGAAGGAATGCTCTCTTGCAATTTGCATAAAGACATTGTAAAAGTTAGCATTGCCAAGTATGTGGCTCACCAAAGGAATACAGAAAAAAAAGTTTGTATTTCCACATCCTTTATTCCAATGCTTGAGTTTGGAGTGGGAATGTGTTAATAATAGTTTTTTTTGAAAATCAAATTAGTGTAGCTAGTTTCTTGTAAGCAGAGATTTAATATGGAAAATTCATATTAGAAAAATCTCCCTTTTCAAATGTATTTTTTAGTATTTTTGAGTTTCTTGAAGAGTCCCAAGTGCTCAAATGGGAATAAAAATGGTAGTTTTGTAAAAAAGCAAATTTGTAGCATCTAGTAGCAAACAAGAATCCATGGCTACCTGGGCAGCCTAGGGTGGCTGGATTATGGGTGAAGCAAGGTACCAACAGACAACCTGCTAGACTGGGCTGCCTGGGTTATCAAGGAAAGGAAGGTACCAACTGACCAGCTAGCTGGGGTTTGTACAATATCTTTTAAATTTTTTATTAATATAAACAGAACAGATTTCATAGATATAATTTTAAGAGAATCATACTTCCCCTTCCTCCTTCAATTCCCCATTTCTTTCCGTCTTGTCTTTTTTACTTTTAATTTTTGCAGTAACATACTTTCAATTTATTTTGTAATCACAGCCTAATGCAGCACTAGTTGTAATGCACAAGTAAAAAGTAGAAAGATCATAGTTCCACTGGAATATAAATAGTAATGAAATCTTGAGATGTCACTTTCATTCTTACACATTTTTTTCTCTATTAACTACCAAATGTCAGAAAAAAAAACATGATATTTGCCTTTTGGATACTGGCTTATTTAACTAAGTGTAATAATTTCTAGTTATATTCTTTTTTTTTTGCCAGAGACAGTGTTTTATTCTTTTAATGGCTGAGTAGTATTCCAGCGCTGGCACGTGTGTGTATGTGTGTGTGCACGCGTATCCTGTTTTCATTATCTAGTCATCAGTTAATGAACATCTGGGTTGATTCCATATCTTAGCTACTGTGAATTGAGCTGCTAGAAATATGAGGGTACAAGTAATTTTTGTAAGTAGAGAAGAGCCCACCAACAAAGCCAGCTGCTTGGAGGATTTTTGATCGTGGAGAAGGAGAGTGAGGGTCAGTGTGTGAGTCAAGCCACTCCCTAGAGCCACTGGAGATAATTACTTTAGTAGAAAGTCTTTTCTCTCCAGAAATTCATCAGAACTGTGTACTGTTTTGAACAATAAAATAATAAAAAGATAACAAGTCATTTTAATAAAATACAGATTATCCAAACAACAGATGATCTTCATCTGTTGTTCATTTGTCTTCATCTTGACACCAATGATTAGTGCTATCTAGGACAAAACCAATACTTATGACTCTTTGGCATATATATTAAAGAAGACTAAGCCAAGTGACATCAGAATAATCATGGCCAGGCAGGTGCCCTGGGATTGTACACACACACACACACACACACACACACACACACACACACCATGGTGCATAAGACAGTAATTATTCCTGTCATGTGCAATGCACTCTAATATATTCAATTTTGCTTTTTTTTTTAAATGCTAAGTTGGATCCAGTAAGTTGATTTCAGGGTCTTTGATCTGAGACACTGCAGCCTCTGGTAAGGTTTTGTGGGACTGGGAATAATTATCTCCAGCAGATCTGGGTCATTTTCTTTTGCAGAATCTGTTCATTTGCATTCTTGGCCAAACCTTTTATATTAACTTCTTTTGTTACTTCCTCTGGAAGATAGAACTGTATCCAATAATTTTCTTAGCAAAGCCATGAGCTTTGATTCGAGAGCAAATCCTACTGCATGAGCCCTTGCAGGGAGCTCTCTTCTTGTCTTGTATAAATAAAATGAGGGCTTTAAAGATTATGGTGACACATTTTTAATAATTTACTCTTCTTTCCCATCAGGTAATATTTTGTGTCCTGGTTGTCAGCTCTTGCTTTCCACATTTGCCTCTGTTTTTGTCCTTATTGATGGCCACTCTGTTTGCAGTGACAACTGTATGTCATTGATCACCCCTGATGTGTACTTTATTCTGTTGGCTTGTATAATTGAAAGCCAAACATCTCTCTGCCAAGTGAGAAACATGCTCCCAACTGGAAAGCTGTTGCCTTGTACTGAAAGATGACATCAGTCTAGGAAACAGCTTAATCCACTCTTGGTATTTTTCTTGCTCAGGGCTTAGAAATGGCTCCTGCGACTCTGACTGCTTTCAAGATTGTGTAAAAGCAAAAGAAATGTTTGAATGCTATGCAGAATCTTTGGCAGTTGGGTTTCTTTTTCAGGCTTGATAAACTTTGAAAATACAATGTTGATACTTTGCAAAGGAAACTTGCTGTAATATACATAAGAATTTGGTACCCCTGTTTTCTTAATGATGAGTTACTGATTTTTGAAAGGACCTTAGTGACAAAGACAAGTGATCTCTTTAACTAGCAAGGCTGCTGTGTTAAGTGAATTGAGGTGATGGAGAACGCAGGCTTCCTTTAGCCTAGGGCTGCATGTTTCAGGTCTCAGATCTTTCTGTGTTCATGAACTAAGGCTGAGCAGGATCTTGAGATAGTCTTGCCAGTAACTTTAAGTTTATTGCAGCTGAAGGCTTCCATTGTCTTATAATTTTCTGTATGGATACTTTCCTGTGAAATAATACCAACACTAGCTCATGTGTTAATTGATCACTAGTGTTTTAAAACTGTTATTGTTATAACTATATTGTGGGTTCAATTAGTGATTTTTTTTTCCTCACTGAGTACTCTATCTATAGCACCTGGAATCATACCTAGCATGTAGTAGGTACGCACTAAGGATTGGTTGAGTTATTTGCACTTGTGATGGATCAGACACTGAACGGAATGCTGTGTTTGCATAATTTGATGATAGCCTGTGTATAGCACATATTCATTAACTGATTCATTCACTTTTTAAAAACTCACACGTATGAGTAATTGCCAGCTCTAGCTGGTGAGTGAGGGCTGACACAATATAAGAAACAACATGTTAGAAGGTAGCAGCTGCTTTCTGTTTGGTTGTTTGGGAAGTACTGAAAAGCAGTAGGCCTCCTAGAAATCAGAACGCTCCACCTTTGGGGTTCTTGACTCGGTACTGCACCCTTGTTTTTACAGACAGGAAAACTTAGGTTCAGGCAAGTTTGATGAGTTGCACAGCATCACACAGCTTCTTAATGGAGGAATCAGCACTCTGAAGCTGGTGCTGGATTCAGCCCAGGACTAAGAAATAAATGATCACTGGTGGAAACTCCAGAACATGCTAAAAGATGCTTTTAAATCATCTAGAAGATGTTTCTTCGGTTGTGAGTGATAGCAAAAATATATTTTTGCTGTTACTTTAGAAGCTTGTCAAGAATGGAATTAAAAGATAAATTTATTTTGGAACAAAAATTGGATTTTTTGCATACTTTTTTCATAATCATTTCTTCCATAAACTTTTTGAAAAGTCCACATTCTACAGAGGAGTCTGACCTAGATGCTGATGCCAGCTGAAAGAAACCTTCTCTAGCCCAGCACACCCAGTACTTAAGAACTCTCCTGAAGGTTGTGATCCACATTTAGTGTGGAGGAGTGGAGATTGTGTATCAAATGATGTGAGCAGTGCGTAGCCTCAAGTGCTGTCCTCGGTTTCCCTTGTGGTTCTTGTGCTGTGAATGCGGAAGTGGCAGAACCAAGAGCACTGGCTCAGTCCTATGGGCTCCCCCTCCAGCCCTCATACAGTGATGTCACTTCTTTTTGCCCCTGGGTTGGAGAGCTGCCTCTGTCTGCCAGCCACCCCACACCATGGTTGTCTCAAAAGTTATCTGGAGTTTGTTAACCCTGGACTCTTTGATTATGTTAATAATCAGAAATATTTTGGTTTCAGTCTCTTTGTCATTAGTATTTTAAAACTATTCTGGTTCATTACCAGGGAGTAGATCATACTGGATGAACCAATTCATCATTGCATTTTATGTTTCATCACAAAAGTGTACCTTAGAAAGTAGGCGTGCAAATGCTGTCTGTGTTTTTGTCCATGCAGTGTACAGTTTGTTATTTTAAATTTATTATTTCTTTATGATGAACAGTTGTTCATTCATATAATGAATAAGCATTTTTTAAACAAATGGACAAATATTTATAATGAACAGATATTTAGAAGCCAGTATATAAATATTTACAAATCTTAAATGGATGCTGCCCAAGTTGGATGGCTGCTGGTTTCCCCGTGTTAGGTGGAGATTTTTTGTTTGTGACCTCACAGACCTGTCGGCATTTGGACCTTTTTCTCTCTGGAAAATTCTTCTGGAAGCTGAGGAGGAATGTTTGCCAGGAGGGATAGAGCCCCAAATGCGTGGAAAAGATGGCGAAGTTTGCTTTCATCCAAGGGGCTGCTGTAGTGTAAGGATTTATTTCTGAGTCTGAAATAGGAATTCTTGTAGTATCTTGGAAACACATTGGAGTGCACGTTTGGCCTGTAATACTTATGTCCCACACTGGAGTACCTGGGTTTGCTATCCAGCTTGTACCTGACTCCAAATTACTGCTAATGCAGATCTTGGCAGAGAGCAGGTGATGGTCCAAGTAGTGGCATCTCAACCAGCTGTGTGGGACACCTGGCTTGAGTGCCTGGTTACCATCCTCAGCCTGGTCGAGTGTGTGACTGCAATCATGTGGAGGCGAGCCAGCAGCATGGAGCTCTTCCTCTCCATGTCTCTTTGCCTCTCAATTACATACATTAAAACAGAACGGGTACACACAAATGACATCACAGAGCCAATTCAAATGCATCTTGCTCTGCCTACCTCTCTAGCCGTGTCATGCCCCATTGACAAAGCGTCATTCTCTGTCAGCTTAGAAACCTGGTTAACGACTCTCTTGCTCTTTCTTAGAAATGGTTTCAAAATGTGAGGCCATTTCAAGAATTGAGAGCCAGGGAAGGTACTTGTGGCATCCGACATGCTCTTCTTACCTGGACAGGGTACTGGGGGAGGAGACACAGGACATGTGTGCACACAGATGGGAATTTGGACACTAGTTTCCTCTGACTGCTCATTTGTCGCCAACAAACCTTGGACTGGATGTTGGTGGCAGAGAGCATTTCTTTTGTGTAGATTCCATATTATGCTTTTTTTTTGTTTGTTTGTTACAAACCATAACTGAGATGTGGTTCTTCATGTCCCTATGTCAGTCCCCATTCCCTGTGACATGGGAGGCCTTCTGTAGACAACCCTCTCTTCCTCTTGAGACCAGTAAGGACAAGCACCCCATGCCTTCCCCCCGCCAGGTTCACCTGAGCCTGCAGTACTGTTTCTTGTTCCTTCAGCACTTTGGCCTGAAGTTTCCACTCTGCTGCCTGGTTCAGCAACTGAAAGAAGAGAGAAAGCATATAAGATGGTCAGACTACTTGGGAAATTACCATTTGTTTCTAATTTGTGTGAAACCAAATAACTTACTCATTGTTCATTAGCTGTCTTTTGTAATTTTGTTGGAATTTTTTTTCACATCTATGAAAGCTAAGAAAATGGTCCAAAACTTTTGATTTGTATCCATAGCTAATAGTTTTAACAGAAAAGAGAAAAAAAATCATTATGTGTAACTTTTGCCTGAGTTATAAAACATGTAACCCCCCCATCAAATTCTGGAGGCCTTCTCTATCAATCCTGACCAACTAATACTTAGTCTCTGCTTGAACATCCGGAGGACCTCTCCAGCTGTGGCACTGTTGCCAGCAACTGCTCCTTTATGTTAACCCAAGGTTATTCTAGACCATTGCTCTCAACCACAGCTTGTAAGATACAGTATGAAACATGTATTTGGTCTTGATCCCTCGCTGCTGACACAGAGCTTCTGACATGCATCAGTATCTTCTACAATTAAAATTCCAGTATCTCGGGCCTGGTACGATAACTGAGTGGCTAAGTCCTTGCCTTGCATCTGCCAACATCACATATGGATGCTGGTTCATGTCCCCAGCTGCTGCACTTCCCGTCCATATCCCTACTTGTTCCATGGGAAGGCAGACGAGGATGACCCAAAGCTTTGGGACCCTGCACCCGCATGGGAGACCTGGAAGAAGCTGCTAGCTCCTGGCTTCAGAAGAACTCAGCTCCTGCCATTGTGGCCACTTGGGGAAATGACCCAGCAGACAGAAGATCTTTGTTATCTCCTTCTCTCTATAAATACGACTTTCCAATAAAAAAAAAATCTTTTAAAAACAATTCAGGTGCCTCCCAGAAAGCATGATGTAGGAAGTAGTGATTGAAATCGGCATATAGAGAAGATCCAGGTGGGTCTCCCTCCTTTCGGGAGACCCTCCATCCCCTGGATCTCCCTGCCAGGTGCTTTCTCCTTCCCTCTGCACCTTCACACTGCAAATAAAACGTTACCTATGTTTGCATTTTAAAAAAAGAAGCAGAAAGGATGGAAAGAAAGAAGAAAAAAGGGAAAGAAATGAAGAGAAAATGAGAGATAATATGGAAGATGATCTACAGGTTGGATTTTGAGAAACAAAGAGGTTTGACATATTTTTCTAAATCTTGTCCCCTGGTGATATACAGAAATGGTCTCATCTTGCTCCATGAAAAAGCCTCAAAACATGAGGAGACTTCAAAAGCTTGTGGAGAGATGCTTGTTATAAAAAATTGGTGTATGTAAGTAAAAACATTGTTTTGACAGATAAGCTAACTTTTTAAAATCTCACTTAAAAAAAGTAGTACTCGTATACATTCACAGTCAGGACTTGGAGTTGACAGGTTACGCTTAAAAAGTTGATTTAAGCATAAAAATTGGGGACCAGCATTATTGCTCAGGAGGTTAAGCCCCTGTCTGTGAGATACCCTGTATCATGTGTGAATGCAGGCTTGAATCCTGACTGTTCCACTTCTGACTCAGCACTCTGCTATTGTAGGTAAGAAAGCAGCAGGTGATGCTTGAGTCTCTTCGAACCGACTGGATGGCTTGGATAGAATTCTGGGCACCTGATTTAAGCCTGGCTTGACCCTGGCTATTGCAGCCATTCAGGGAGTATACCATTGGATAGAAGATCTCTCTCATGGAAGATCTCTTTCTTTCTAACTCTGTCTTTCAAATAAATAAATAAATAAATCTGTTTTTTTAACTATAAAAATGATACACATGTAAAATATGCTATTTTGTGACAAGATTCAAGTCTCTAATGTGCTACAAAAGACTTCTGGTTTTCTTTATTTTTTCGAATAGTGTTGTAACCTGAAAAATGTTTTTAAAGCTGCCTGACTGGATATTTCTCTAGAGTTTTACAACTTCTGAGCTGTCTCTTGTAGTTTTCTAGTCATCGATATTTAGTTTGACAAGTTCTCTCCCCCACCACCCATCTCACATTGGTTTGCATTTAGTCTTTCAAGCATTAAATACAGTTTTCAGGAATACTTTTTTTTTCTTTCCAAACTTGTATTTCAGTAGTTGTTGCCCTGTCATATTGATTTGCATAATATAAAAGCAAGTGTAACTGGAAAGAAGATGGGGACATGAGAAACTGACCGTGGTCATTTTCAAATTGTTGAATGGGGTAAGTGTGTGCATTCCAGAGTGGCTCTAAGTAGTCACACACACTGAACAGCAGGCATCTTACAAAGAGAACGCTAAACACCATGGGTGAACCTGCTGAGGGTCAGTTAGGTTTCTTTGGAATTTGAGGCTGGGGTGATTTAAACTTTCTTTGGTTTGTCCTTACTATATTTAAAAAAAAAACATGAAGTCTATTTATTTCCTTTGTTATCAGGACAGCAACAATAACGAAGTAGCCATGACATTGAAGAACTGGGGCAGCTGTGTCTGGAGTGCAAGACCTACAGTGCCCTTTCTGGCCTCCCCAGGGAAGTGGCTGCAGTACGTAAGGCAGTGCTTTGCAGCTCGGTTTGACAGTGATCTCAGGGGAGGCAGGTGGCTGCCTATTCTGCTTGGGTGAGGAAACCCCCATCTTGTACATAGAGTGTCTGCATTCTCAAAAGGAAGTGGCATAGCTGCGACCCAGGTATGTGAGCAGCTTTGAAGAAGTGAGAGGGACTGTATTACCTCGACTGAATTCTGCTACTGTGCTACACAGTATAGGGAGATCGGTCAGTCTGCTAATTTCTTGCTAAGTCCAGGTCACTGCAGATCTGCTCTCCAATATCACTCATGTGTATCTCACCCATTTTTTGCTCTCTCATGTCTCATATATTATATCCTTGCACACTGATATCCTGTAGCAAATGTATTTTACCCAAGTGGATAATACACAGACGGGAGTATTTATTTCCTTGGATTTTGCATAATAATAGAATTTTTTCTTATTCTGAAAGCAAAGTTGTAGATGGATTTAACAAACTCATTTTTTTTCCTTAAAAGAACATGACTACTGATTTGATTAGCCAGTGTCAGTAGTTTACGTTCTTCAAAATTCATCTGACAAGTCTGAAAGATGAAGTTATTTAAAAAACACTGTTCTAATAAGTTCTGATCCTTTTAGGTAAATTTAAAGCATGTGATTAAATGTTAAATGGTAAAATTTGAGTAATTGATCCACTGACTAAGTCTTAAGCCTGTTTGGGCCCCAGCAAGCGACACATGCCTCAACTCACATCTCTGAAATACACCTCCATGGAAGATGAACTGTCACAGAGAGCTTGGATTCTGGGTCAGACACACGTGGGATTCAAGCACATCTTGATCTTTTAGTGTTTTGTGAGCTTAAAGTTGCCTACTGTATTTGAGCCTCGGTTCTGCCATCTGTAGAGTGCCCCTTGGCTTTTTGGAGGTACTTGGGGTTAGTGAGCTGTTAGTAAACAGCACTGTTCAGTTTCTTCTGTCCACCACCCAGCAATCATTCCTTCCTCATTGTCCCTCTCAGCAAGCCAAAGCATGGCCTGCCGGTCTTACACTGACAACTTTTGCCCATCTCCACCTCCCTTGGCTAAGTCATCTGGATGGCTATCACAGCCTCCTGTCTTGTTGAGCATCTCCCCCTGCCCAACCGCGCCCCGCAGCCCCTAGGAGCCAAGTGATCTTTTACTGATGCAAAGCAGATTGTGTCACTTTCTTTGCCAAAACTACTGAATGTGTCCCATTGTATTTAGAATAAAATCCAAATTACCTTGCAGGCCTTGCAAAGCTAAAGTTTGGCCTTTCCTTACCTTCCTAACTTCATTTTGGACCGTTCTTCTTGGTAAACAGGCTCTTGCCTCCCTGACCTTTTTCTATTTTGGGGACACACCAAGCTGATTCCAACATCAGGGACTTTGTCCCTGCTGCAGACACTGGTCCTGGAGATGATTCTCCATTGAGAAGGGCTTGGCTCAAACAACCACCACCCTGGGATGCCTTTCTGGTCACCCAGCTAAGTGGGTCTCCTCCTTGGCCCTGTCTCAGCATAGAGACACTTCTTAAGTCTGTAATTACCCTTTTTGTTTCATGCCTATTTCTTTTGCTTTAGACTCTAATCTTGGTAGGAGATGCCTGCTCTCTGTCTTGGTCATAGCTATTCCCTCGCATCTACTATAGTACTTTGCAGATAAATGACATTTAAAACCATCTGTTGGATGGATGAATGCCCATTGTATGTGAAAAGTCACATGGATACAGTGCCTAGTGCTGGGCTGCCCAATTTGATTCTCCATAGAAATCCAGGCCCTGTCTCCAGCACCCCAGTGCCTTTTAACCAAGATTGAAATAGTTTTGTCACAGTTGCTGAAACCAGGGAGACCAGACATGCACACTACTTCAGTGATAGGTACATATTCCTTTTCACGATTGTGGCGCTCCTCTGCTTCCTTCATCATTTCTTGTGCCTCTTCCAGCTTTGCGTCCACCAGCTTCTGCTGCAGTTCTCTATGTTTAAATATTTTGTCCAGATGCTAAGGAAAAATATAGACATAAGACTTGGTTTACGGTTTGTACTTAGAAATTTTAAATTGAACCCCAAATTCACATGAGACTCCATGCTCCATATTTTAAGATTTTACTTTAAAGGAAAGATGCCTGTCCATCATTTATATTAAAGTTGTAAATTGGTGAAGTCCCTAACCCTTTGCACTGCACCAAAGTAATGGCAAAAGGTAGAATTCAGCAGTGCTGATTCTAAAAGGTTCCAATGTTATTTTTTCTAATGTGGTATCAGGTAATAAGATATGTTTATTTATAAATTTTGGTACAAATGATAATTAAGCACGATCACTAGTTTATTTGGCTTTTTTCTTAAACATAAAACAACTTTTAATCATAACATTAATACAATCTATAATGGTGAGTTCTCCACAGCCTCACTTGAAGTGCTGTGAAAAAAAATGTGGTATGCTACCCAATGGCCCTGGGTCTGGGAATGGGGCCCATCCCCTAAATTCTATTCTGTTGCTTTGGTGGGGATGGCAGGGCCGGTGGGATGAACTGTACACAGATGTGCAATGAGTCTTCCACACCTGCTGGCCTCTGGACTTGCTAGATGAGGACAAGCTTCCCATCTTATCTTAATGTAAAGAATTTCTTTGTCATTATACCTCATTTCTTCATCAGAAAGAGAGCATGCTGAATTCTGTCCTTGAGTTTATTGGGAACAAATCCCAGAAAATCTACAACAGAATAACCAGGCCAATCCCATCCAAGATCTCTCTGAAGAGTAAGGATATTTTTTTTTTCTCCGTTCTTTAGTCTGAGACTCCTTTCTGGAGTGGGGTTAATCTGTGTGACAAGGCAAAATGGCAGCATTGAATGTGGGCTTGCTGTGACAAGTTTGTTTGCTGTGAACATATACTCAGTTTTTTCCTTGATAAAAATCTTAGCATCTTCCAACAGAGCTACTTAGAATGTGTTATGGTACATTTTAAGGAAGCTAAGTAAACTCTGGATGAGATGGGAAAAGGAATAAAATGTGCTCAGAATCTTGAGTGCATATCTGGAATCTTAAAGCCATCAAATGCTTTGGATATAATTTTCGGATCACAGAGGACCCTATGCTCCTCCAAAGATAAAGTATTTTGTGACAGTGATTTCATGTCAGAGCCTCTGCTTCTCATCTACAAAATGTAGACAGTGTGTCAGTGTTGTGGGCATAAGATTGTTAAGACAGTTAAATGACATGTGTCAAAAGTCAGTATTTAGCACATTGTCTGACACAACCCAAACTGTGAGTAAGTGATACTGTAATTGTTACATTAGTAATACTAACAGTGGCTTGTGGGGTACATGGAATGAATACAGACCCTTAATTTAGATGACATCACAGTGATTCTTAAGAGAGAATATGGAATCATTTTTTTGGCTATTTGGAGAGGAGTTTCCAAAGGCTGAGGAATTCTGTTTTCAAGGGTGACTGTGGCTCCAGCCTATTGCAGTTGCTTAGCAGTGATTCCAATTTAGAAGAAATTGCACATGATGTTTAACCAGATATTTTGTAGTACCATCTGTTTTACTTTGGTGTGTAAAAGAAATCCAATCCTAAATATGAATCAGTTGAGGGTTGGCCGTAACTTGCTTATGAACCAGTTCCCCACCTTCACGACCCCCATGTGGACCTACATCAGTGCTAGGTGGCTGGCTGTGCCCCTCACCTCCTCCCGCAGCTCATACTGATCGATGATGCTTTTCAGCTTCTCAGCCAGCTCTGTGTTCTCCTGACAGAGCTTCATATTTCGCTCACTCTGCTGCTCGATCTGAGCCTGGATATCCGTCAGGGTATTCTGGAAATGACTTGTGATCTCTTTCCTTTTCTCTTCTTCCTCGCGGGCACGCTGGAGAGTTTCCTCCTGCAGATAAAAAATAAAAATATTTTAGTATGTTGTTTTAAAAGTGCTCTGTGTTTATAGAACCCAGGAGGAGAATGCGTGGAGGGCAAGTGGATCTTCTTGCTCAGTTCTTCAGAACATTGCTCCATCCTGCAATAAACATGTGAGCAAAGGTTTCGGCTGTGAGTTCCTGGCCACTGCGAGCAGGTGCTATGAGGACCTTGCGTTTGATAGTTGGTGATGGATCGGCTTGTTCTAAGCATGATGAATCTCCTGCTGGGTGAATGAACTGCTGGAATTTGTGAGAAACAGGCAGTCACACGGGTTTGATCTCTTGGCTGTGGCCTGGAAGAAAGGCCACTCAGTTTTTCTGATTGATGGGATGGATTATGTGTTCTTTTGGTTTTGTGCCAGAGAAAAGAACAATAGATCATATAGTTCTCTAAAAGCTGGCATATGAACATGTCACGTAAATGTATTACCCAATTTTATAAATATGGATGACCACAGTATAAACTTTATCTTACTAAGAAAAAAACCTTTCATCAAAAAGCTTTAAAAAGGAAACTAAGATGGCTAGAGATCAATTGGACCCATTCCAGAGTATAAAAGGAAATCATTCCAAATATGCATGAGATTTTATTTCTGAAAGAATATTCACCTCACCTGTCACATGTGATAATTGCAGTGTTCAAAGTGAATTTTGGTTGTGAAAGCAGTATTAAGTTTCAGATCATCTTTAATGAAAAAGTGAAACATTTAATTTTCCCTGCCCCTTTGTTAAAGTGAGAGAATTGGAAATTAACTTTCATATTGTGTCTGTTCTTTTCCTCTTCAATCAAAATTTTCCATTCGTTGCAGCCACTAAAACTGTGCTATCATTTCCTCCACATCTATTTTGAGAATTGTTTGCTTTGTCATTGTTCTTTTCATTCTTTTAGAATAAGAGGGTTGAATCTGTTACATCATTCCATGACAGACACACTGCTGACAAGTGACACATTTTAAGATTCTTTTCAGTCCTGATTAATTGTTAATATGAAAGCTTCTGTCATTGTTGGCAAGTAAAATTATACTGCATTCAGTTGCCCACCAAATTCAGATTATGTGGCAGGATTTTTTTTTAAAGGAAATAATTGTTATAATAGGCATAATCTTTGTCATCAGAAAGAATGTGATCAAAATAAAATCTGATCTTGGAAATGTATTCTGTAGAAATATTTTAATTTATCATTGGGTTTCCTTTTTCCACACAGCATTAATCATCTATCACTGTAAGATGACTTCTGAAGTCAGAACCATGATTTATTTATACTGTGAATCTTTATTTGGACAACTTCTCAGGAACATTTTTAAGATATCTGTACTTTTTAATCTGAGGAAATTAACTATTTGATAGTTTGTTTCTTTGAACTTTGTGAGTTCCTCAATACATTTTTGGAAAATGAAATTAAAAGATATGTTTATTTTGGTGCAAAAATTTTTAAATACTGTGCAATGCTTTGTGATACACATTTTCCATGAACTTTTTTCTCTTTTTAAAATAAGGATTATTTTAACATTTTTTAAAAAAGGATTTATTTAGTTTATTTGAAAGACAGAATTATAGAGAGAGGGAGACATAGAGAAAGAGACCTTCCATCGACTTACTCCCCAAATGGCCACAATGGCTGGGGTTGGGCCTTGCCACAGCCAGAAGCCAGGAGCCTCTTCCAGGTCTCCAAAGTTGGTGCAAAGGCACAATGCCTTGTTCAGTACTGTGCTGCCTTCCCAGGGGAATTAGCAGGGAGCTGGATCGGAAGTGGAGCATCTCTCAACTGATACCTGTATGGGATGACTAACGCACAGCACCACCCCGAACTCATTCAAGATTCTTTGTATACAGGAATTGCAAAAGCACTTTTGCAGTGAAATAAAGTTTAACTCCATTTTTCCATGCATGGTTTGAATTATTGTTGAATCAAACCCTTGTATGTGTTTCACTAAAATGATTATGGGCAATGTAATAACAGTGTGACAGTGATTGTCTCCTCATTGCCCCTGATTTGTTTAGAAGTCATTAAATTCTAAAAATCACTGGAGATGGTGATCTGAATTCTATCTGCATTTACAAAAATTCCATTCCTGAATGCATAAGTAATTGAACAAACTATTCCATGCTACCCAGCCAATCATAATTTTTCATTGGAAACTGGCTAGATTAGGTTGGCATGAAAGACTGTTGAAACCAACCTAGTACTCAATCCTGGCCCACAGAAAATCATCTTATATTTTATGTTATGTTGTTTTTTCAATGAGTCAAAAATAAATCTAGTAAAATCTTATAAAATTGTGGTCTATCTTAAAAGAATTTGCAATTTCTGTTTTTTATATCACATATATTATTCAAAGTGAAAATCAACAATGCAAATAAGATTGAGGAGCAAGGTGTGAAATACCTGAGGAAACAAACTGTGCATGCATCAGAGTACGTCTTAGAAATGCCGACGTGCTTGGCCCAGAAGCCACAGTCTTCAGCAAATATTTAATGAAACAATTAATTATTGATTTATGTACAGACATATGAGCAGCTGGAACCAAATGATTCCTAAAGTCCTTTCCACTGTAGAATTCTGTGTATTCTAGTAGCAAATACTGCTTATTTCTTTACCCAAATCATGAAACCCAAGCCTATCTCTTATTTGGCAATTCTTTTTCAGTGTGGTTGGAGGCTCAGATTTATTGATGCTGTGTGAGCAAAATGGCATGAAAAATGAGTTCATTTGGGTTCATAAATGCTGAAATCCATGTAGTTTTCTTTATAATAAATATTTGCCTTGAACTTCTTAAAGATACAACATTTATATTGATTTTGTTTGATTACTCTTATTTTCTAGACATAGTCTAGAGGGAGGTTGGTACTTGTGCAGAGTGTAAGTTCCCCCTCTTTTTCACGCTGGACCAACGACTGCAGTTGGAAGTAGAATGGGTTAGGCAGAACATTTCTAGATAATCTGTTATCTTTCTGTCTGAAGAATTAGCATAACCACAGGAAGGTGAAGCTGTAATTACAGAAAGCAGAGTCAGAAAAAGAGAGACCTAAATTCTGTGAGTTAAACTGTACTTAGATCTCTGCCTAAACCTGAACCACACACATGTAGGATAGGCTTGAAGCAGACCAGCTGATGAAAAAAACAAAACAAAACAAAACATAAAACAAAAAACGTGCACTGAGCTGCTGTTTAAGAGACAAAATTTATAGTTTAAATCTAATCAAACTAATTGCTTGCTTAAAAAAATTCTTCAGAGGAATATAGCAGGCTCCAGATTATCCACAACATAACAGATACAACATCTAGGATATAATTGATTTGTCAAATAAAAAAAAAAAAACTAAAAATGTGAACATTCTTAAAAAACATCAGAGGAGGCCCTGTGGCACGATGTATATTTAGCCAATATGAATTTGAAGATGGGTGTTTTTTCTGTGCTTGGTTTTATAAAGAAAACCACATGGAAATGGTGTAATAAAAAAATATGAAATTTGGGTGATCACCTGGCACAGTAATTAAGATCCTGCGTGGTGGGAGGAGGGAGCCCCAGTCCCACCCTTGTGATGGCCTGTGGTTCTGCTACATTGCTGTCCATTGGAAATGTATTTTTCCTCTTTTTTTTTGTCCTTTGAGTGACTCCCCTGAGATGATTCATAAGACACCACTTGCACCATTTCCTCGGGTCTTTCCTCCCTTGGAGCGCCACCTGTCCCTATGGTAGCAGTCCTGTTTCTCCAGTTCGTGAATAAATCTTGTTTTGCAAACTAGAGTTGTTCACATGAAAATTATTCTTTCATGTGAGACAAGAAACGAGGTTGCTGCCATGTTTCACGTCTAATTCCCCGCACCACTTTCAAGGGCATTTACTGCTGTTGGTGAGAAATCTATGTGGGGCACTGTGAAGAAGATAATGCCCCACATGGATTACTCACCAACTGCTTCAAAAAACTTAAAAAGTCCTGGCTGTGCTCCTGAGTCCTGCTTCCCGCTGATGTATCCTGGGTGACACATGAAATGATTCAAACAATTGAGTCCTACCACTCTTGTGTGAAATGAGGATTGAGTTCCAGACTTTTGTCTTTGGCCAAGTTCAGCTGTTGAGGAGTAAGCCAGCGGATCAAAGATCTCTTTCTGTCTCTGCCCCTGCCTCTGTCTTTCTTTCTCTGCCCCTTTCAAAGAAATACATTTTCAAATTTTTAAAAATCTTGTAATTTGAAATTTAAAAATCACTAGGTAGTTTTTCATGAATATGAAGATATACTAATAGAAATTATCTAAGTTGAAGGTAAAAGAGGAAAAGGACTGATGAATAATATTAAGAGACAACAGTAGGGCCTGGTGTGGTAGCCTATGGCTAAAGTCCTTGTCTTTCATTCACCAGGATCCCACATGGACACTGGTTCTAGTCCTGGTGGCCCCACTTCCCATCCAGCACCCTGACTGTGACCTGGGAAAGCAGTCGAGGACGGCCCAAAGCCTTGGGACCCTGCACCTGTGTGGGAGACCCAGATGAAGCTCCTGGCTCCTGGCCTTGGACTGGCTTAGCCTCGGCCATTGCTCTGCTTAGGGAGTGAGTGAATCAACAGTCAGGAGATCTTCCTCTCTGTCTCTCCTCCTCTCTGTATATCTGACTTTCCAATAAAAATAAATCTTTTTTTAAAAAGAATCAACAGTATGTCAGTAGCTATGAAAGCCTGTCATATGAATTTAGAATGTTAGATGGCAAGAAGCAAGAGTGGGAGAAGGCAAAAAGAGACAGGAAAAATATGTGAAGATATAATGGCTGAAATTTGCCAAAAAGAGAAAAAACATGCAATCACTGGGTAAAGAAAATGCAGTAAATACAAAGTAGGCTACATCTGTTAAAAAAAAAAAAAAAATCACCGCTAAGTAAAAGTAGGCAAAGTTCTGAAAACTAGAGATCATGGAAAGACCATGAAAGTAGCCAGAAAAAAAGGACAGAGTCAATAGGGGAACCATTGAAATTAT